ATAGCAGAAAATGATTGTTTCATCAGCATTATAAATGTTATCTTTTGTGCATCGTTCTCTTATTACTCGCCAAGTTTTACTCATCCTTGTCGCGAGATCCGCTATGCTAGCAGACTTTGCTTCACACATATTTTTCCAAAGTTTATCCCACATCTGTTCTTGAATCGATCGAGCCATACATTCGAACATACGAACCCAGAATAGCCAAATTGTTCAGCTTTTCTGCTTGAACTTTTAAAAGTGGACGACTTACAGGAAATTTGCACTACGTTGCACATTAGTGGTAGATCGATTCGGGTTTGCATTCCGGCGAACAGTGTAAATGTTTCAGTATCTTCATGGTTTTCTTTTCATAATTACAAACCAGTTTTCCTTATAAAAGATCCTCACCTTTAGATATCCTTACACGTTGATGCTTTGCCCTGCTCAATTAAACAAACAATCAACTCATACTTTTGCTTAACAAATTTACGCGTATTAACTTTTATCCAAAATTTCTTGCATAAGCAATTCAATTACTTTACAAAGCTTACTTTAACAATTTATTGTAATATGCTTTGCATTTAATGAAGGCCTAACTCGTAGTTAATACCCCTAAAACAAACTGAAGTTCACATATTAATTGAGCGAGTTGGTCTCGGATAGAATATAATGGAATTTTCTGCCAGCCAATTGTTCATGTTCAGATAATTATAATATTACGCTTGTTTATTTCTACCCGAAGATATGAACAACCCGAAGCTTCGGGAAGCTACATCCACTTGTAAATAGGTACTGTGCTTGAACTAACTATTGAAAATATGGGTTATATTTAATAAAGGCTTTATTCAGGATGATCTTGGATTGAATACAAGACCAATTTTTTGCATTAATTTCCACCAGCGACGGAACGCTTAGCTTAAATCTCGGCGAAGAGGCTGGCTAGATAGGCCTTTTTGTAGGTTTACCCACTGTAATGTGAATACCAGCCAGCTTTCTTTAGAAAGTTCTCCTCGAAAGCACATCTCTTCTTAGGCAGATAGCCTTTCTGTGCTTTGTCACAATCGATATAACCTAACCTTCAGTCGGAACAGTCATCGATAGGCACTTAACAACACCAACTGAGAGCTGCTGATCTCACCGGTCTTATATAGTTTTCACCCAACCGCCGAGATATTTCTACTACTTTCTGTTTCTCGAAATTACTGGAAGGCAATATGAGGGTCAAATTACGCTTATAGCTAATATAGGGATGAATTACAATACCTATTACGGTGATACTGGGACCGGACCAAAATGTCGTCAATTTTGGCGACTTTTGGCGATTTCTCGTCAAATTTGGGAACTAAAATTATTGTCAGTTTAAAAACAAACACCCTGTATAAAAGCTTCAAACACTGTCAGTGATCTTGTTATACCATCATACATAAATATAATACTGTCACGTGCGTACGAGTTCGTAATAGATTGAATGCACACAGAGCCGATGATAACTTAATATAATTTATCTCAGCCAAAGAAACACTTCACAGTTCTGGGACGTTTCACAAACGTACTGTTACGGTTCTTCTCAGTATGACAGAGCACAATCCCCTTCAAACTGCTAAGAACGTTAAACGCAATACGATGGAGAGCATATCTAAAACGCAAAGCTCGCATGGAGATCTCTACTGCGAACTCATCTCTGAAATGATGCTCTCACCGGTCTTGTATAATTTTCCTCCATCTTCGGAGAAGTTTCAGAAGCTATGATTTCTTGAAACTGCTAGAAGGCATATAGAGTTATAGTTACATGTAAGGATCACAGCAATTATTGTTATATAGGGATCGGACCTAGATGTCTCCAAATGGTCACTAAATTTGGGGACAAAAATTTGTTACCAAAACCATAACCAGCTTAGCGATATCTGATCACGATTTCCTAAGTTTTGTAACTGAAATTATCAGAGACAATTACTTTCCTACTTACGTAATTGTAATAACATACTGGAATTTCAATTACGATTACATTGTAATTGCATTAGATTATATAATTGCGATTATATTGGAAAAGTAATTAAATTATAAATAACTTTGTAATTACAGTTACAATGTAACTGCTCTTAGATTTCACAATTAATAGGTAACTGTAATTAGATTATACAAATAATTTGTAATTTTAATTAGATAATGCAATTACAATGTAATTGCAGTTGTAGGCCCACCAGTGGCCGAGCGGTAAAGTCGCTGAACACTGGTAGTTCGGTCCGAGGTTCGAATCTCGCGAACGGGCTGGCTGCATGGGTGTTTTCATGGTTTTCCCCATGTGTAACGTGAATACGAGCCAGTTCCCTTAGAGAAAGTCCTCCACGAAGGCATCCATCCCCTTAGGCAGATAGCCCCCCAGGCTTTGCCGTAATCAAATAACCTAACCTAACCTAATTGCAGTTGCATTACAATTGAAATTAGGTTTCTTAATTTGCGATTTAACTGCAGTTACATTGTAACTGGAATTGAAAAGCAATTACATTGTAATTGTAGTTACAAAGTAATCGCATAATCCAATTACAATTATAATGTAATTTGCAATTACTTGTTTCAGCTACAATGTTTGTCCACCTCTGATCACATGTTCAATGTTTGCGTACTTTAGTGAATATCATAAACGGGGGGGGGCAGGAGAGCTTTAAATCTTTAAAGAAATGTTACGTGTAAGAGCACTGTTTATGAATGGTATTTTTTTTATTGCTACGTAGTATTATAGAGTGAATTTTACTATTGTCAAAGACACTTTTCTTATTAAAAAAAAAAAAAAAATACGCAAATCATTTCTCACACCGGAGCCCAGTTTTCTAGTTTTAGCTAAATACTGTGTAATTTTGTATTAATTAATGATCATTTGAATTTTCTAAATAAATATAACGAAACATTCCTTGGAGACCATCTATGAAAGTAACCGTATTTTTCAGAGGACATGAAGTATTACTGGCAAGGAAGCGGCGGACGTGCTTGTAAAATCTGCAGCCAATGACTCCAGTAGATTAGAAAACGCAGTAAGTGTTCTGCAGTCTTATTTAAAAAAATCACGCTCAATAACATTTTACAAGAATGACAGAAAAGATGGGAAAGGGAAAGCACAGGGAGGAGAACCTACAAGTTCTTTCGGAAAGTTACGTGCTCAGTTAACACATACAGCGGAGCACAAACTCAATTCTACACTGGCCATGGTCCCTTTCCACATTATCTCAAGAGATTCGCAAACGAGCATCAGAATTGTGTGAATGTGGTGCGGTAGGTGATGCAGATCACTTCCTCTTCAACTGCCCACAAACCGATAAACTGCATTTAAAAATGCCAAGCAGTGAATACTGGCCGCAATAAGCGGAGAATAGCTGCAGCAACAAGCAGACGAAAACTAAAATAGAGGAGGTGATCAGGCTATGCTCAGCAAGGTACTAAGAATTTCTCCCCTTCCCTTGAGAATTGTAGCTTCGCAGCATAATTTTAATAGCAATTCAAAATACTACAACAACTGAAAATCAACACTAGAAAAATAGCTCACCCTGTAGAATAGTAACAGGACAGTAAGAGCAAAACTATTGTAATGTAAGCATATTAATATCCAGTTTGTATGTGTTTGATAAAAATAATATTGTAAAGCAGTTTAAAATGATTGAAAATCCAGTAAATGTGTAAATGAATTACGAGTTTACTTTGATTATCTCAGTAAAAGTATTGTAAATATGAATTCAGATAATGTTTAAATGTACACATAGCTGTCATGATTTTATGTAATTATCATATATAACTTGTAAAAGACAATGTTTGTAATCAAAATATCTATGCTTATACACTGGCCTTGTATGCCCATGTAATATTTATATTTATATTTTTACACGGAGGAAATATTCCCTTCTGCCAGGCTGACTATTAATACTGTAATACTTTTACAACAAAGCCAGGTCAGTGGTTATCTCAGGCGGCGCTCAGAGGACATGGAGAAACATTATAACCTTTTAAGACAAGTAAACATTATTAACTGGACATAAATAAACATTAGAAAACATAAATAAACATTGACCAAAATATTTCTGAAAAAGATAACTGAACACAGAAAATCACTGTTAGTGATGTTCTTTACGACGAATATATCCGCGTAGGATCAAAACCATCTAAGGTCGTGGATTGTTATCTCACGGCGGTGTTTCACTTTCTATACATAGACAATATGTAGACTCAAATAAATGCTCTTTCACTAGTAGCGTCAGGTAATTTTGCACCTGCTCTGCTACTAGCTTGTAGAGTTGCGCGCCTCCAACCTGCACGCAACCAAGAGGTGACTGTTGAAACTGGAAAATAGACAGAGTCTTGCTAAGGGTTTAAGTCCCTTTTTATTCAACTTAAGAAATTACAATTGCGTGCTCTTGACGCTCACAAACTACGCCGACCCCGGCGGTAAAATAAAAATAAGAACCTGAAAAGAAATAATAACAAGACTCTAACTACGAGCTCTCTAAAAGTAACTAACCTCACCGCGTTTTACAATACCACTGCTAATTCAGCAAACTTTGAACATCACGTTGAACAATTAACAATTCTCCGAGGCAAGCACACAGGCCGAAACGCGGGGTTCTTCAATTTCTTTCTGTCTAACTACCTGCGCGCTCGTGAAGTAAGAACAGCACATCTCGAACTCGTTTCCTTTCTATTTAACTCAGAATACTTCCGCTGATAATTTGAATCCTTGCGCGTTCTACTAAAATTTACATACTCTGACATTGGCAGTTCCAGGGGAAAGTAAGGCTTGACAGGAAAGATAGTTTAAACTTAAAATAAATGTTAGTTAAAATAAATATAAACCCTACATTTGCCGCTGCCAGAATTTGGAAAACTTGGAAGCAGGTCCTACAAACGACCTGTTGAAAAGTTTCTAGAATTCTGAACTAACTCTCAAGAGCCTCGTTTACACAAAAGAAAAAAATCTTATGTAACAAAATGTATACTAAATTTCTGTCGATACTTATATAAATCTCTCTTCTTACAGCAACTTTTCCTGGACTTCATCAATCAATCTTGTTCTTTTCCTTCCAGCATCTGGAAGGAATAAGTATCAGTATCTTTCTAAATACATTATAATTTACACTTTCTTGACCTGAATAAATTTTTGGTTTTAAATGATTCGTTTTTTCCTTAGTTTATTGCTTAATTCATTCATGATTCAATTTTTCAAGCATTAATTAACTTACACCCTGCTCTCCACCGGTGTGGTGTCAAACGG